CAAGTGGTAATGTAATCCATACCTGAACTGTGCAACCCAGCATATCCCTGAAACACAGGAAGTGTCAGGGCTCAGCCAGGCTTCCAGATATCACTTCCGCTGCCTAATTCCTGCCCAGCCCCTCTAGGGGTCAAGCCCTGTCCTACTCTCTGCAGAGGATGTCCTTGGGAAACTCTCAAAAGGATACACATTGTAAAAGTGGAAGGATTTGTTTCTCTCAGTATAAAAATGCCATGGGAGATTAGATCAGCATGGATGGAGTGCTTGGCACATGCCCTGTGCCTGTCAGACGCTCCTGGAGTGGCACAGGTATGGTGGCCTATCCAGGCATGTCCAAGCTGCAGCCTGCAGGCTACATGTGACCCAGCACACGTGAGGATAGCAATGTCATATCCCAGTGTCCAAGGCTAGACAGCCCTGCGTATAGACATAGACGCTTAAAACAGTTAAGCGTCTTGTCTAAGCTACTCAGTCATGGTGTTGGGATTGGGACAGAAGCTCTCAGCCTTGCCTTCTAAACAGACACATGAACTCCTGAGTCTCAAAAGATCCAGAAGACTCTTACAGAACCACACAGAGACCCCCAAGCAAATCTCTTGGCTGTTGTTCCCAATGGTGGGGACAGAACCCAGGGCCTAGGACAAGCTAGGTAAGTTCTCTGCCTGAGCCACAAGCCCTGCATTCCCTGCTGGTGCTGACCTGGAATATCTAAGACAGTCATCTGCTCAGGCTTCCAGAAGAGTAGATGATGGTACCAGTCAACGGGTCACAATCCCCAGGTGACATTACCCAGCTCAGTTGTATGACACCCACAAGGTGCCAAGCTCTGCTCTGCTGCTTTTTATCCAGTCAGGAGGACCCCAGCGGACCCCACTTCACTCTTTCGGCTCAGAGCCAGTCAACAGCCTACTCCAGGACTGACAGCATCCCCACATTATCCTCCCAGCGTGGACGTGATCTGTCTGGAAAAACCAGCCGGAGACGCCCTAGCCCCTGCTCTGCGGGAAGTGCCAGCAGAGAACACAATCACACCCGCAGCACTTCCTGGGTGCTCATCCCCCTCAGCCTGGAAAGATCCAACTGCTTGGGAACAACGCTATGCAATTTACTGACCAGATCAGAGCTGGCAGGGATCCCTAGCCTAACAGCTCACAGGCACACAAAGCCAATTACCAGCTACGGAGACAGGCAGGCACTGCTTCTTAGGTCACAGCACAACCCTCCCAGTCCCCAGGCCACCAGAGCAGGAAGAAGTCATCCCATTCCCGATCAAGAGCATCCTGCCTTCTCTAGGTACAACTCAAAAGCACACAGGTCAGTAGCCTACCTCTCCCAAACCCCAGGTAGTTCATATCCATCTTCCCCGCCCACCACCCTGTGGTGCCAAGCAGGGGTATCCTCCAGTTGAGGGCCACAGGGAAGTTGTATGTTCTGGCAGACTGCAGGCAGGGACTGCAGTGTATCTACCTGCATTGGGACAGAAGCCACCCCCTCCCCATACAGCACACAGACCAGGGACATCCAGGGCTCTCACTGAAAGACTGCACCACGGGAAGGTAATCGACACTTTGACACTGACACCCGGCCCCCCACTTCTGTGAGATTGTCCCTCTCCTCGTCTCTGCCCGTCTACAGAGAGGCCCCAGTTATAAGTTTTAAAGACAGGGCACATCCTTGTGATGTGATGAGGTGTGGATGTGTCCCCTGTGAGGGCTGCCTATCCATGTTCCATAATCTATCACCACCCCACATACACGCAGCTGGGCTCAGTGGCTTCACACGGCGAGAGTCTTGTATCCTTGCCTCAAAGAGAGGTACTGGGTCAAGTTGAAGGCGTTGTGAAACAAGAGAGAGGTTCCTCAGACTACAGGATGAAAAGAAACTGGGAAGCTCAGAAAAGGGACAGTATCCGGCAGGCGCCACCAGAGCATCTGCCGGGGTGGCGACACTGCCCAGCTGGTCAAGCTGTCCCTAGCTGTGCAGGGAGCTACAAGGACACAGTTTTTGTGAGTGATCACCCACACCAGGGTGGGCTTTTCAGGGATGGCTTTTAGTCATTCACACGTCTGTAAGCAACATCCTACAGACAACCCCAGTAAGATCCCTGGTTCACTAGGCTGGACAAGGGTAAGATCATTTTTTGTGGTCTGTCAGCTCATCTGGGGGTGAAGAGATGTTGTTTGAACTCTCCTGTTGTGAGACTGGAGTGTGAGGATCCAGTTACTGCAGCTCTTCCCCTCTCACACATGCCCACACGCTCCCCCCTGAGTCCTCAGCTCACAGACTTCTAGTCTCCCACCTGAGGAAGTGAGTTCACATTGAAGTGGGTATGAGTGGCCTTGTGACCTGCTCCCCACCCACTTCCCTATCTCCTGCCTGGGAGAGTCAGAGAGATGGCTTCAGGCTTGTGCTGTGGAATCTCCCCCATGCCCAAAAAGGTCACATGGGCTCCAGTGTTTTCCTCAGCTGACTCCTGCAAGCTGTCCTCTTACCTCCACGTGTACACACACACACACACACACACTCATGCACGCGCACACACACATACCCACAACATGCATGCACACATACGTACACCAATAAAGATAACTTAAAAACAAAACAAAAACCAAAAACCGTATCTGGATCTGGGAACATGAGGACCTAAATTTGGACCCCCAGTACCTACATAAAAATTCAAGCACAGTGCAGTGTGTTTGTAACCCCAGCACTGCTGAGGGGACAGTGGATACAGGGGGACCACACCTAATAGAGACACATCAGTGAGCTCCAGGTTCAAGGAGAAACCATGTCTCAAAAACTAAAACGGAAAGGAACTAAAGAAGTCACTAAATGTTTATTTCTGGCCTACACACACGCATGCGCAAGTGTGAGCTTGTGCACATACACACAACACACATACACACACAAGAAAATGTAAAGCAAAATCCAAACTAGGTCTTGTATACAGTCTCAGCGACTAGAATGTGTGATACATAGTAGGTGATCAGCAAGTATTTGTTGAGAACTCAATAGTGCTGACGCACACCCTTAGTCCCAGGACTCGGGAGGCAGGGGCAGGCAGATCTGAGCTCAAGGTCAGTCTGGTCTACAAAACGGGTTCCAGACAGCCTGGGCTATACAGAGAAACACTGTCTCAAAATAAATTAAAAAAAATTTAAAATGTATATTTGTTGAGTAAACTCCACTGCCCTTATGCAAGTCCCTGACCTGACTCTGAAGACCCATAGCTTGTTCATGGTGTCTGAGGGGGTGGGGTAGGGCGGAGACTGTGCTGTCGTTTGGACCCAGACTGTCCACTGAAGTCCATTTCCAGAAAGATTGTCCTTAGATTGGTGCTAAAGGGAGCTGACAGATCAGTTAAGAGATGTAACATTTTAGGTCAGAGCCACCTCCTCCCTCTGCCCCATGTGTTCTCATCATAGCCCCAAAGCAATCGATCAACCCATCATTCATGGAAACCCCTGCACCCTCTGTCTTTATAACTGATTCTCTCAAGTGTCTTGTTACTATGGCAGGAAGCTGACTTGTACTTCCCTGAATCAATCCCATAGGCACAGTGTAAATCCTCCAAATGTCTATATAGAGCACTGCATAGACCGTTTAGGAAGTATTAAACGTTGGTTCTGAGCTAACTCCTGATGGCTCTGGTGTCACCAAATTCCACCATCAGGAGTAAGGGCTCAACAGATGCAGAGGCATGGCAGATCGCAAAATAGAACCACATCCCAAGTCCACCTCATAGAGACTATCGAAGTCCTGAGCCTGCCCCACATGGTGACTTCCTCGTTCTGAGTGCTCGGCTGTCAAAGGCATAATCAGCGGCTGACAGAAACTCCACCCTGTTCCCTGACCCATCACTTAAGTAGCAAGAAAGGCTACCAGTCCAAAACAGTGACTCACTGCTGATCTTTCATCCGTGGTGACTAAAGGCACACCACCAACCAGGAACTGTCTATTCTGCCTGTTGGGTTTGCACAGCAGCCATGAAGGATGCTGTAGGTGACTGACGAGATGGCTGATGACCTGGGTTCAATCCCTGAATCCCATGTAAAGGTGGACAAGGAGACACAGTTGTCCTCTAACCTCGACATATGCACCATGGCATGTGCATGACCATCATGTATGTGTGTGTGTAGTAATGAAAATGGTAATAAAAGGAGTCAGTGGGTTGACCTATGGGGATTCCCTCATCACCATGTGGCCTCCATACTGGAACACACATGTTATAATCTCTAGCACTGATACAAAGCTACTTCTTTGATGGAGTCCTCTTGCATGTACCTATGTATATGCATGTACACAGACATGCCTGTGAGACCACAGTCATGTGTGTGTCCTGTTGTATGTGTGCATAGGAACATACCAAGGTGCATGTATGTGAACAAGCATGCCAGTATACATGTACCATGTGTGTACATGTCCCTTGGAGCATGCTGGTGTGCATGTGTGTGCATGAGCAACAGTCAACAGATGTCTATTTATGGCCTACATATGGGTACATGTGTATGTGTGTGACTAAGTATGCCAGTGTGCATGCATACATGTATATACAAGAATGCTAGTGTGCATGTGTATTGTGTAACTGAGCACATTGGTGTGTATGTGTACTGTGTGTTTAGTTATACACAGGAGCATGCCTGTATGTATATACGTGTGTGCATAAGCTTGCGTGTATACAGGCACAGGTGTTTTGTACATGTACAAAAACATGCCAGTGTTTGTGCCCTATGTGCAAACATATATACACAAGCATGTTGCTATGTGTGTGCCTGTGTGTGCACATGTGAACACAAGCATGCCAGTGTGTGTTCCCATGTGTGCACATAAGTGCACATCATGTCAGTGTCCATACATGTATTCAGGAATCAATAGAAACATCACACTCCCAGAACAGGGGTCACACAAACCTTCACCGCCTTACCCACTAACTCTGTGCCATCCCTCAGCTGAGACCTGTCCTTTCTGTCCCCGATAGCTTTAATTTTTTTTTTTTTTTAAACTGTCCCCATGCTTTCGGCACAGAGTCATCACATGGAGGACAACGCTGTTTGTTTCCTAAAGCTGGGGCTTACTATCAGCTCAACACTGGATTGCACCAGCTAACAGTACTGGTCAGGTGCAGTGGCGGGTGGCTGACTCTGATAGCCTTTTGATGGCCTATGACATCATGTTAGGCCTTGGATAAAAGCAAGTGGCAAGATATCCCAAGTGTTTGACTGTTGTACTAGACAACAGGTCAAGTTTACTGACAGATCTACCACTTTGGTGGATAGCTGGGATGTCCAGTTGTAACATTCTAGAGTGCTCCCTTGAAAGAGACATGCATGACTGTGGCCTGCATGGATGGGGCTCTGGCCTTGTGAGACAGCACACATCCCTCCTGGTGCCACCAAGGGCCGTGTGCCATGGGAGCCCACAGCAACGGTGAGCTCTCTGTCTGGTCCACCTAATCTAGGCATGCTTACATGCTCATAGCAGACATAGTGCCTCGTGGAGTCTGAAGACAGGCCTAGCAGAAGCCTCGTCTACCTGGGCTTTGGGCATCTGAGGCACAGTTTCTCCTGGGACTCAGATTAGCAGTGGCTCTGTTAACAATCCAACTGGAGACACTGAGGTTGACAATCAAGTTCCTGTCCAGATAATTCCTACAGAAGCCCACTGGAGCCAGTGGTGCCCATCACTTCCCACACGACCAGTGTCATGGAAGTAAAACTGTGATAGCTGCATTCGCATGTGGCTCTGTAGACTGGACCTGCACAGCCAGAAGTGGCTGTGGTAGCCTCCAGCTTCTCCCAGGGGAGCGTCTCCAAGGCATGGTGACCCTGCCCTCAGTATCCATGGAGTGGGGTAAGAGGGTCTAGGACAGGACAGTGAGTAAGAGGGGAAGGTGGGTACCTTCTGTCCCCAGTTCCCAGGCCTGGCTAGCAAACAGGCAGGCAAGCCGTCCCAGAGTTGCCAGCATCCTCTGGTAAGCTACACTCTGCCTGTTCCATGAGCTGGGGCAAGCATGACCCGGAGTCTCTGCCTAGGTGACCTGTCACCTAAACCAACTGTCGCTTACTATCACCTACATTGGTCGTAGGTGGGGAAGAACCAAAGTCCCTGGGGCTCACAAAAACAATACCCAAAAGGTTGCGTAAGATCCTCACCTGAAAGAGGCAAAATGAATTACCCACACTATTCCAAACAGTAAACCAAAACCCTAAATGGTTAATTAGTCCAGGACCAAATAGCTTGGGATTCTGTGACAGGATCATTATTCCAAGAGCCTGGATAGCAAAAGCCAAAGCCCGGACAACAGCCAAGCATGGTCTCCCTTCCTGGCCTCAGTGTGCAACCCTAGAAAGCACCCCCCTCCTCTTATTAGTGTTGAAACCACCTTGGTTGTTACTGGTAAGCCGGTTGCCCTTCCAGATGGCAAAGGCAAAAACTGAGATCAGGGTTCCTTTCAGCAGATCTCAGCCTGGGTCACTTGCTTTCTCCCTCAGAACTCTCGGGGCTAGGGGACTCTGCCTCACTCTTGGTCATTCCACAGGGCAGCCACAGAGCTGTGACAGCTCCTCCCAACATCACCTGCTGGCCTGGCCCTAAGCTTCCTCCTGCGGGCCTCCAGCTGACGCTTCCGGATTCTTAAAACCTTGGTCCTGAAGTCGGGACACATTCCCACCCCCAACACCGCTCACCTGGAGGGGTGGAGCTTAGCAACCTGCAGCCAACTACCCCTTCTCTAGTGCTCTGCAGCCAGCTGCCCACCCCGCGATCTCTGTGTAGCCAAGAAAAGTGGTAACATCCCAGTACAGTGGGGTCTCCAGCCCAGGACTCGGCTCCTCTAAGTTCCCATTCTCCTATAGTGTCTTTGGCACTTGCTCACGATGTTGCCCTAGCCCAGATTCTGATACATATCTCCCTCTGATACATTCAGCCCAGGTAATAAAATTACCAACCACTTCCTGAGTAGCTCCAGGCCAACACCAACCAAGGCTGCGAGAAACCCAGAAGCGCCCGGACTCTTGCCAGTCTCTCCAACCGGGTCAAGACGGTCTTCCCGCAGCCCCTCCTCCCCTGTGCGTTCCCACCTCCACCCCCCTCGCGGTGGTCACACCAGGGCCACACTTGTGCAGTCCACTGCCTCGGGATCCAGAACTTCTAGAAGTTGTGACCGCAGCACAGATCGTTCTTGGGTACCTCGGTATCTCGTAGCCAACACATAGCCTAGAGCGCGGCTGTTCCCCGCTCCCCGGACCCCGCCAGGACCTCTGCGAGCAAGTCCGGCTTTAGGTCCCTGGGACGATTTCTCTCACCTTGAAGAAGCTGCGAAGGAAGTGCACCACACCGAGCATGGTGCCGCTGGGGGCAACGGCCACCCGCTGCTCTGTCCGCACCGCCGAGCCAAGCTCTAGACCCCACCCCGTGCCCCGCCCCATGGTCCTCCCTGGATCGCCGAGGCGGCGCCTCTGCAACCCGGCCACTTCGGGCACGTGCAGGTCCGCAGGGACTTGTCCAAACACTAGTCCTGCCCGCTCCCGGGTCTCGGCAGGAACGGGACATGTACACATGCACACTCACACACGCGCGCGCACACACACCCCGGCACCCCGGAAGGGACAAACACACACACACTCAAAACACACACACACACCCGGAGCAGTCCTTGGAAATGGCGAAGGTTCCTGAGCCCACCAGGACTATGAACTTCATTCATCTAAGTAAGAAACGGACAAGTGAATCGCCAGCGGTGCATCTGCCACACACGGGCTTGCATCCCCGCCCTTTGGTCCCCTAGGCCTGTCTGGCCGCTGTGCTGTGACTAGTGCCTGGCCCGGGTCCTATTTGTAAACGGCCGCCTCCTTTCTGAACTTGAGAGATTGTTAGCACAGTATTTTAGACAACGCTTTAGTCTCTGCTCACACAGATTGTAGGGGGCGACTGTGAACTCAAATCTGTGATTTAAGTCTTGACTCAGAACTCACTTTTTGCTCCCCCTTCCCTACCTTTTCAGGTACTTTGACAGGTGATGGGGGTCCAGGATGATGGCGAGGATGGCATGGCTAGACTGAACAGGTGAGGGCTTCCAAGGCCGCAGAGTCTCTAGGGTCACACTTCTAATGAGCCATAAAAGCTTTAGCTTTTTTCGTGTGTTCATGCGCAAGCACACACACCACAAGAGGATGGGCTATTGCTCCCTGCCTTTCCCTCTTCAGACAGGGTCTCTCACGGACTCTGAAGCTGGTTTTTCTACTAGCTGGCTATCAAGTCCTGGTAACCAGTCCTATCTCTGCCAGCTTCCCCGACCCAGGAAAGGAGTTATGGCCAGATGTGGCCACACCCAGCTTTTTATGTGAGAACTGAGATTCAAATTCAAAACCTCATGCTTATACAAGTGCTCTTATACAAGGCCAGACAGTCTCCCTGGCCTCTAGTTCTAATTCCTTGGCATTAAAAGAAAAGGTTAAATACACTAACAGTGAGGCAACCCTGATTATATTTATCTTTATATAAATGCAGCTGGAACACACTAAAACACACACACACACACAGCTGTAAAACAGAATAGGATAATCTAGTTTTCTGCAGGAAAATACAAAGCCAAAAGCTTGCGTACATCCCACTGCACTGGATGGGATCGCATAGTTAATAAGCTGCTAATGACACCACCTGAGACCACACATGAAAACCTGGTCCTGGGAGCAGACCTGGACCAGCAGGTAGACCTTATGCTGGAAGTATCCCACTGAAGGCGAGCATCTGTCCACACCGGCTTTGGGCACCCTGCCAACCCTGCCTCAAGTCCTAGCCCCACTGATCATTAGCATGTCACCACGGTGCTGGGTAGAATGTTGTGTTTTTTCCCCTGTTCACACAACCTCTGCTTCTCCACTTCTCAGCTCCCAGGGCAGCCCAGACCAGGCTGAGCGGTAAATGCCTAGAACTCAGCTGGACACAGGAAGGTACCTGGGAATTATAAGGGCCTGCTGCATCCATCACCTCTGTGCTGCCCAGCTTGCTGGAAACATATCCCCGAGTCCCAAACAGTGGGAGAAAAAAGCCAGTATTGGACCCTCGGCTAGCCGGGCTCTATGTATTCAGTCTTGGACACCAGCCTCGAACCTGTGTGTTTGTCACCTGGGAAATGAACACTTCCCAGAGAAGTGACTCTTTGTTGCAACTTTCTATGGGGAGTCTGTTTCTATTCACCCCAGAGAGAGGCAACCAGGACCCAAAAAAAGGATGTCCTGCAAGTCCATCTTGGTGGGCCGCTTTGCCTATGGGGGTACTTAGAGGACTGTGTGTGAGGGGTTACTTTCAGAGGATTGGGAGATTCAGGTAGCCACATCACTGAAAAACTTACCCCTGCATGGGCGAGTACTCATGAACGCGGTGTTGCATGGATGGAGTCCCCTCTCCTCCAGCAGTGGCTTGCAATTGAGTCCAACCTCTGGAGAGGAGCCTTGGGTGAGTTTCCTAAGAGTCATCAGCCTCCAGGTTCTCTGGGGTTTCCTGAATCATCAGCCTCCAGGTTCTCTGTAGGCCTGAATGCTTCAGTCCAGAGGAGGTGACTGTACAGCACCCACTAAACCTACCAGGTGCTGACCCATGAGTTCTGGCTCCTTGGAAGACTGAGCGCTAAGCTTTCCCAGAAGACGGTGGGATACACTGCAAGTATACACTTGTTCTGCTGCTGTCTGACTAGTGGACTGGGCCAGCGTGAAGTTCTACGCCTGTCGTGCGGCACCTGCACTACAAGACGGTTAGCGCTACGGTTGCAGTTTTCGAGTCCTCCGGGCAAGGGGCTGGAGATTGAAACACGCAGAGACACAGAAACAGATGGAGACACTGCTCGTCCTCGAGACAAGAATGCCCACTTTATTGTGCTCAGGGGCAGCTTATGTAGGGCTCTTGCCACGCCCCAGTTCTCGGGCTCTTTCAGCTGCAGACTCATCAGAACCCACTCCCCTGCCATCAGGGTCTCGTGCTCAGAGCAGCTGCAGGTTGATCAGAGCAGAGGAAAACAAGTCATTTTGTTCAGAGCAGGTGCAAACACAGGAAAAACAAGCCACTCACAGGGAGTTCAGGGTCCGGGGGTCCACAGCCCCCAATATCTCCCAACAGGCCTGGACCACATAACGGCCTGGAGGACATCAGGACTCAGCCTCTGATGCCTTCCAAAATTCCTAAACAGTTGGTCTGGGGTGAAGCCTGATAATTTGCATATTAATAAGCTGCTAGTGACACATGCTAGCATATTAACAAGTTATGAGTGACACGATCCGCCCTCACACCACTGAAACCACACAGGGAAGCCTGGTCCTGGGAGCAGGATCAGGGCCAGCTGCCATGGCTGAGGAGCAGGCAGACCCTATACAGGAAATAGACATCCTAACGGTTCCAGTCACCAGAGTCCTTTCTATGCATCAAACACTGGGGACCTGAGTGTCTATGAGTAGGGTCAGCACAGGAATGCTAGGGGTGAAGAGTAGGATGCAGGCTCAGCCTTAGGCTCCTTGTGTCTTGGCCTGGCTGACACAAGGCTTGCAAATGGTCCTGTCCTCCTGCCTGATGGTACACACTGCTGCAGACGATTCTCTGACCTCCCCTGAAATGTCCTTGCATTTACACACTAGTCAAACATGTGCCTTGTTCTAGGCTTGGACCATGTACTGAAATGTCCAGGTTCTCATGTCCTGAAACAAAGAATCAGACCGGGGATGTTGGGACCATTTGGAGACCTGGCCTCCAGCTGCTCTTCCCTGCTAGAGATCTTTACTTTCCTTTTGATTTGAGTTACTGAAAGCTGTGTCAAAGTTGTTTACCAGCTCTGCTTCACGAGCACGTGTGTCAAAGTTGTTTACCAGTTCTGCTTCACGAGCACGTGTGTCAAAGTTGTTTACCAGTTCTGCTTCACGAGCACGTGTGTCAAAGTTGTTTACCAGCTCTGCTTCACGAGCACGTGTTGCCTTGCCTTGAGGATCAGGGGATGAGGTTTTCACCTGTTGGCCCACCTGACCATGTTGGGTATCTAAGCCTCCATGGTGCTATTCAATAAAGGTCTTCTTTACCAGTGTCTAGAGGTCCATGCCTCTGTGTCTTTGTGTGTTTCAATCTCCAGCCCCTTGCCCGAGGCTCACAAACTGTATGGTAGCGCATAGAGTGCAGTTTGGGCACTGGGCGCTACACAGAGACTTGTGGATAGTGGCAAAGGAAGAGGAAGTCATGGGCAAGAATGGAAATGGACCAGAAAGCTGTGGGCCAATGCACAAAAGCCCTATGCCCTCAGCACGACACAGCCTCTGCCTTTTCCTGTATTTGGAGATTCTGGGCTGTTTTCACATGTGATCTGTTTTGCTACATATAGTCTTGAGAGAGAGAGAGAGAGAGAGAGAGAGAGAGAGAGAGAGAGAGAGAGAGCACTTTGCTGCCATTTGATGGCTGCCTCCTGCTCAGCATCTAGCCTTGCCCCTAACCACCCATCCTCTCCTACACAGACAGACCTGCTCTTAGGCAGAAGCCCTCTTTGCTCTGCCTAGTACTGACTTCACTCTTCTTGCAGGCCTTGGGGTACCTGGGTACAGGATGTGCCCAGCCGAATCAGGGATGAACGCAGTCCAGAGCGACCCTGAGTCTATCAGCTGAGTTGGGGTACAAGTGGAAGGTGGACACCACTCAAGCCTCAGAGCCACGCTAATGCTCAATGTTATTCTCACTCCTGGAATTGTCACCCTGTCTTTGGGCGTGGCGACACACACCACAAATTCTAGCCTTGGGAGGCAGAGGCAGGTGGATCTCTGTGAGTCTGAGGACAGTGGGGTCTACATATGATTTCCAAGCCATCTAGGGCTATATACTGAGACACACACCTCCTCTGCAAATCAACCAACCAACCAACCCGTCTTTGTGTTTGCACATGTAACTGTACACACGCGCATTTGGAGATCTGAGGTTGACATCAGGTTTCTTCCCCGATCATTCTCTACCTTGCTTGAGGCAGTCTCTTACTGAGCCTGGAACTGACTGACAAAGCTGGTCTAGCTTACCCACAAGTCCCTGAGAGCCTCCTGTCTCTGTCTCTCCAGTCCTAGGATTTCAGGCACATGCTGCCAAGTCCAGCTTTGCACACGGGTGCTGGGGATTTGAACTCAGGTCCTCACAGTGTACAGCAAACACTTTATTGACTGAGTCATAGCCTCAGCTATGCCAACCCTGTCTTTATTAGGGCCTAAGCCTTGCTGCCTATAAAGGCATCAGAAATTCAGAGGTCCTCAGAAAATCTAATAAGGTAGAGCAGAGGGTGAGGAAGGCTGTGTTAAGATGAGGAGAAGAGACACGTTATTCTGGGATGGCTCTCTCCAAAAACTACGGCTTTGTAAGACTGTTGTGGAATATTACTTTA